GGCGCCCCCTGCCGGGCGCCGGGGGCACTGCAGGGGGTGTGTCTGCGCCCACGCCCTGCCCCCACCTGCGTGCGGGCGGTGTAGACGGCCCACCCGGCCGCCGCGGAGCAGCCTTCCAGCCTTCCCTGCGCGCAGTTGCCCCGCGGTGGAACGATACAGGCCGGCCCGGACCCTGTCCTCGGGTCTGTTTGTGGGGAGTGGGCCTGACTCGCAGGGTAGGGCCTGGTTCATTCATTCACGAACGTTTCCCGGCACTCAGAACGCGACAGGCCTTGCCCTGGTCTCCGAGGACTGCCATTACCACCAGGGGTTGTCAGTCGGGCGGGAGACAGCCGCGCAGAAATAACTGATGAAAGTGGAGAAATGGCTACAAGCCGCAGGGAGCAGGAAAGGAGGGAGGGTGATGAGCCAGCTTCCCGGCTGGGACCCAGGCAGCGGAACAGCCTGCGCCTAGGCTGGAGGGAGCCCTAGAGAGCTCGCTGGCTTCTGGGAGCTCTGCCTAGCTCAGCGAGGCTGCAGCTTGCAGGGTGGGCGGGGGAGAGTGGTGGGAGAGGGGTTCCTGCAGATGACTGGACAAGAGAGAGCCAGAGGAGCCTCAGGGGACCCTCTGTAGGGCTCTGTAGTCAGCGCGGGGCAATAAGGAAGTGGTTGGTAGCTGTGAGACCTTGGGCAAGTTACTTAACCTCTCTGTGCTTTACCGAATGGGGAAAATAGCACCAGCTTCTTACGGGTTGTGGAGAGGAAATGCTCCCTGTGCAGTGGGGGGCCTGACTTTGGAGTAGGGGTGGGGGGGAGGCTCAAGGACCTGTGGGAGCCTAGCTGGGAGACAGTAGCTGCAGACTGCCAAGAGCCTGGAATGTGGCTGGGAGCTGGAGCTGGAGCTGGACATGGCCCCGACACTACAGGTTGTCCCCAACCCAGTACACGCCAGCCGGCTTCTCAGCAGGGAGCTGGACTTGGAGGAGACATCTGGAAAGTCTCAGAGACAGGTGTGGGGTAATAGAAAAAGCATGGATTTGGGGTTCAGACGGGAGGGAATCTCAGCCAGACCACTTCCTAGCTGTGTGGCCTTCAGCTAGTTACCTAAGCTCTCTGAGCTGTTTCCTCTTGTGTGGTATCAGGCTCTCTCCAGAGGTTACAGATTCGGGAGATAAGGACCTGGGGCGTGGGGGAGGGCGGGAGGGGAGGCCTGAGGAGGGCCTCCACATCTGGTTTCCCTTTCTTTCCTCTGAGGTCAAGATAGAAATGATAAAGGAGGGTGGGTGGAGGGCCACCTCCAGCCTAAAGGGAAGCCTTGCAGCAGCTCTGGCCAAGCCACATCTCCCACCCCTGCATCAGCAGTACGCTAGTCCCTGTCCCACTTTGTCATCGACCCACGGTCCTTTACCCCAAAGACTCCGGACTTCTTTCCCTGGTGTGCTGCGGCCCAGGCTAGGGTCTCGGGAGTCAGTAGCCCACATTGGAATGCAGCCTCCACCTCTTCCCAGCAGAGAGAGGTACATTTTTAACTTTGCTGAACCCCAGGCTGGAGAATAAAACCATGAAAGAATGGAGGGCCCCTCCACAGAGCTGTTCTCCAGAGGAAGAACCAGAGAGCTTCCAACCGCATTATTCATTCTGTCTTTCAGTCACTCAACAGGTACTTACGGAACACCTGGTAAGTGCTAGGCTTCGTTCCAGATGCCGGAGATGAAGGCCGCTGGACAGTGGTGTGCAGGCGATGAGCCCGCTGTGGGGAGAGGGCGAGGAGACTGCTGTCAGAGGTCAGCTTCCAGGGCTTTATTTATTTTAATCTGACAGAGTGAGAGAACGGGAATGTGAGAAAGCAAGCCACCAGGTACGGGCCTCAAACCGCCGTCAGCCATGTGGGAGTCCAGCGCCCTTAACCACCATGCCACCTGCTGGCCCAAATAAAATAATTCTTGGGAAAAAAAAAAAGTATGAGTTTATCTGGAAAAAAAAAAGAGCATGAATTTCATTATACAAGCAATGAGGAACCACTGAAATTTTTTTTTTTTTTTGGTAAGTTTTGCTCTAGGGCACGTGTGTTCATAGTAGGGAGAAAGAGACAGAGAGAGAGGGAGTGAAAGTGAGAAATCACCCCCACAGGGGCCGGCCATGGTGTAATCCCTTTTCCTCCATTCTCTTCTCAAAATTTTGGGTACAGATGCACATGCACCCGGTGTGGTTTTCTTTCTTCCTTTTTTTTTAAAGAATTATTTTATTTACCTTTATTTATTTATTTTAATTTGACCAGAGAGGAACGGAGAGAGAGATAGAGAAAGCAAGCTGCCAGGTCCAGGACTCAAACCATGGTCAGCCATGTGGGAGTCCAACACCCTTACCCACCATGCCACCAGCCAGCCCCTCTTTTTTTAAAAAAAGAATTATGAATTATTTATTTAATTTTATTTGTCGTTATTATTTTTTTTAATTTTCTACAGGATATGTGCACCCACCAGAGAGTGAGCAACAGAGAGAGAGAAAAGGAGGAAGCAAGTTGTGAGGTTTGGGATTCGAACTGCGGTCGACATGTGAGAGTCTAGCATCCCAACCACCATTGCTACCTGCTGGCCCCACCCAGTGTGTTTTTCAAGCTGCCAGGTCCAGGACTCAAACCACACAGCTGACCATGAAGGATTCCGGACCTTAACCGCCATGCCACGACGGGTCTAGCACTGAACGATTCTGGGCGGGGAATGACACGACAAACAGTGAAGGTGGAAGCCCAGTGAGAGGGCTGGAGGGTGCGCAGCGGTGCAAGGCTTTGCTGCCCTGCAGGGCTGACCCTGTGTGGGCTCCAGTGTGCCCACGGCCGGGGACCAGCTGAAGCTGGGTGTGGGTGGTGGCATGGAAGGCCACCACCTTGGAGGTGCTCTCTGTGCTTCCTGCTCATGGCAGAAATTAATGAGCAAAACGAAAACAAGAAAAACACCCAGCGAGGAGGCCATGACCTGGTCCAGCCGGGTGAAGATGGCGCAGGTTATGGTGGAAGCGGGACAGAGGCCCTGAGGGGGGAAAGAGAGTCTCGGGCAGCTCTTTCCAAGTGGCCGTCTGTCCGTTCTTTGCTGAGATGCGGAGCAGTGTGAGCACAGGCTGTGGCTACTACCTAACAGCTCGACTTTGCACAACTGGAGTTCGATGCCCGTGAAACCAAGATGTCTGGTCAGTTTAGAGCCAAGCACTCAGGTTCCCAGACTGTGCCACTGTGTGTGGTGTGCCAGGGCCTGCCCAGGGGACAGAAGCACAGGCCAGAGCGGCCGCACGGGTGAGGGTGAGTGGGGATGAGAAGGGAGCGGGCTTCCGCGTGTCCTGATGCCGCTGCCTGATGGACTGCAGGATACGAAGTCGGTCGGCCCAGAGGTCCAGAGCTGAAGTGCCTTCCTGGGAGGACTGGGCTCCCTGTCCCCTGGGAAGGGCCTCTGCTCCCTCCACCCTGCCTCCTCCCTTCCCCCACCCTCCTTGCTCTCAGATGACAGTTTAGAGAAGCTGGTGTGAAATAGCTTGAAACTCAGACAGTCTGGGCGGTCCCCCAGGGCAGAAAACAGGAAGCCAAGATTAAAGGCAGATTTCCAGCAAAGTCCCCTTCTACTTCCTGCCGAGCAGGTGCTCTGCTGAGCTGGCCTCGAGCACAGGGGCCAGGCAGCCTCCCCGCTGCCACACCTCCAGGCCCCCCAGCTCTGGCCTGCCTCGGGCTGGGAGCTGTTCTCTGGCCCTGCCATGGCCCTCCCCCAGAAAGCTGTGAAGGAGGCAGATCTGGGGACCCCTGAGAGGCAGCAGGAGCTAGCAGAAAGGGGGTGGGCTCGGTGTCCCTCAGTCATGCTAGGCGGTCCGCTTTCCTGCTGCAGGGGTGCCCAGAGGAGTGCAAGTGGCAGAAACGGGGACCTAAGGATGGGTGTCCAGGGAAACCAGCCCAGCACGTGTGCCGAGTCTCTGGGGAAGGGGGAAGCCAGAAGAAAGCAAGCGCTCAGGGCAATGCCTCCACGCCAAGCCAGCGGCCACTTGGCTGGGTGGCCATGCTGAATCCACAGTTGCCCGTGGCTCAGGGCACCAGGGGCCGGGACAGGCCTCCCCGTGACCTCTCACCCCTCCCGAACCATGGGAAAATAAGCTTGGGGGAGGTGTTCATCTAGTCAGGCAGCTGAGCCCCAGTATCCCTTCCCTCTGTAGGGAGCTTGGTTCCCACCTTCCAAAGCTGCCCCCCACCCTCCAGGAGGAAACATGCCTGCCTGGATCCAGAGGACTCCCACTGAGAACGCCCTTTCTGGAGTTTACCATGAAGACATG